GGGCTGGAACCGGTCCATTGGTGAGAGTGATGCTTGTCTTTGGAGTCATCAAGCCAGCCACTAGCATGAGCAATGTTCTCTGCCTGTTGCATCTGTGCAATACGAGTCAGGGACTTCTCCCGAGAACATCCCATTCTGGATCATAGTCAATTGCCCCATCATCACCTGTTACACTGCTCTGCACAACATCAATGTAATCATCATTGTCAACTTCTTCTTCTTCCTCAAAGCCCAGGCCTCCATGTTCTCCTTTGTCCTGTCTGTGCTTGGAAAAGTCATCTCGACTATCATTGCACTCATACTTTATGTGGAAGAACTTCATGACCTCTTGCTGCCGTTCTGTGAATTATGGCTAGCAAATGCATCATCCCATGTCTGAGAAGTATCCTTAAGGTCTGAGCCTTTATGCCAAGGCTTGAAGAGCATGAGCATGGTCATGCAATATTCCTCTCTATTACCCTTGTCTTGACGTGGCAATGTGCCTCCAACAAAGTTGGGCACCCGAGCACAATGATCTGGTAGCATGACAGCCATGTGTGTTTCATACTGAGGATGAGTGGGCTGGAAGTGTGTGGGCTCATGGTAATTTGTGATAGCATCCATTTGCTCATCCTCTCTAGCCTTCTGTGCTGTCTCCTTTGTGAGCAACAATGGGTCATCATCATCAGACTCTTCCTTCCATTTATCCTGGCCACCACCTCTGCGACTAGGCAATGGCTTTATATCTCGTTTGCTCTTGTCCTCATTGTTCTCCAATTTAGCAATTTCTCATGTACTGGCTTGAGCTTCTGAGTAGCACGTTTCATGGCACGTCCCATGGTTTGTTTGTCACTCAGTCTGATCCAGTCGTACAGACACACTTGGGCATATTTAGTTGGCCTGTACATGTAGTCCATTTGTTGTGTAATGCCTACAAACTTATCATGGCTCTTGCCTATGACTACTTTGGCTGGTTTCTCATTTGGAGTGTACACTGGCTCCTCAGTCGGCCAGGCCTTGAGGACCTCATACATGTAGCTCCTCCAGTAGAAGGGGCGGAATGTATGGCTGGTGTAATGGTCTGGCTGATTAAGGAGGTACATGCAAGCCATTGGTGCACCTGTTTCTGCACTGGCAGTGAGAGCATTGACAATTTTAGTGATCAGCTTCCGTGCACACACCTTGCGGTTGCCATCTTCACCTGCTTTGAGATCAGGATTTCTGCTGAATACTGTCTTCACAGCTGAGAACATCATATGTGTCTTCAAAGGAGTCTTTGTGATGTAATCTGTAACATATGCAGTGATTGCCTTGATTGCCGTGCCAGACAGTAAGCTTGTGACATCTGTGTTGCATCTCAGGAGGTAAGTAAGGGCAGGAGTGAAAGTGTTGAGCCTTGCTTCCCCTTGCTTCATGAGCAGTGCACCTGTGTCTGGATCAACAACTGTGCATGGCCTTGTTGTCCTGGGGAATCTCCGCTTACAGACTTTCATGATCTTATTTGTCCGCTTGTCATATTTGCAACCACTTTCCCCTGTGGAGCAGCTATGACGGTTGGACTTGTATACCAGGTCATTCACAGTCTTGTAGAACTTGGCCCACCACCATGATCTGTAGAACAGCCTTGACAATCATCAAAGTGCTTGTTGTCACATGTATGCATCTGATTAGGCGGTGGGTCTGGCAGTGTCAGGGTAGGATCAATGTATTTATCCTGCTGCTGATCACTGAGCAACTGGTCATACACATCGGCCATGTTTGCACCCATGAACTCTGCTTGGTGGACACTTTCTAGATACTCAACCATTTTCTGTTGAAAGTCAGATGTGGGGTCCATGATACGCTCACGTATTTCCTGTGGAGTCAATGCATTTGTGATCCATAGCATGAGGTGCAGGTGCAGAGTCATCCGTCCCTGCTGCTCAACTGTTCCGTAGTATCCAGCTGTGTCACCATACAAGCCAGGATGATTAGAGCCAACACCTAGAACATGCTTTATGAATAGCTCAACAACTACATTGAAAAATCTAGCTCCTGCGACAGGGTTAGCTGCAATCAATCTTGTACGTGCATCATTATCAAGGATGTCAGGCTTGTATGTCTCATTTGTGTCTGCAAAGTACAGGCACAATGGATGCTTCACATCTGCAGGTGCAAATGTTATGAACCATGATGGAGCTCCGAGATAGGATGTGAGGGCCCATATCTCATTGCGCATGTGTTTCCTGCTTGTCAGAGATCCAGGGACTTTATATGCAACATGATCAACATCTTGTATGAGCTGATAGCAGTCCTTCTCTGCCTGTGTCTCTGGCTTGTAGTGTCCACGTTCTTTGAGTTTCTGAGTCAAATCATCCAGGACATTCTCATCTATAGACAAGATCCTATTGGCTACATCTGCAAACTTCTGCTGCTCTGCAAGCAGAAATCCACCAGTTGCACTGCTTTTGATCTGTTCATGATTGAATGCAACCAGTGGAAAGTAGGCCTCAGTCTGGAACCGCTTGTCATGGTACATCAACAGTTGTCGTTTTCTCTCAGGCTCTGATATGTTCTTGAACCCTCTTGTGTTTCCTGGACCCCCAAGACCATATGGAAATAGCCAAGGAAACATCTGTGGGTACAGCTGTGGGTTTGAGAATAGGGACTCTGGCTGTTCTGATTGCCCAATACCAAGAGCTGCCTTTTTCTGTGATTTAAAATGCTGCAGTGCATAGGCCCGTAATGCATCTGTGCTCATATTTGTGAGCTGTTCACCAATAAGCCCATGCACTACAAATGGACATGGACCCTCTGTAGTGCCATCATTCTCCTCAGATTCATTGGCAGCTTGGGTCTCAGGATCCTTGTTGCCTGTGCCTATGTGATAGTCGGTATCACTGGAGGAGTGTCTTCAGAATACATCTCAGGTTGCGGTAGGATATGTCTAAGTCTGCATAGTCTATGTGGTTCAGTTTCAGCCACTCCAATGCTGCAGCTACTTTTTGTCTGCGGACTAGCAAGGGTGTACGTTGGTGATCCTTAGCAACTGGGCGGGTGGGACCAATGTATATGTACGCCAGCACTTCATCCAGCTCACTGGGACTGGGAGGCAATGCGTCATACACCTTGGGCATAGGAATAGTATGGCAGACTGCATTGGCAATCATCTTGCTCTGCAGTGAGCCTTTGACACGAACTACACAACGGTTGTGATTCACACGTGCTATGAGAAGATGCTCTGCCCAAGTCAGATTTTGTAGCTGCTTTGGAATCTCTCCAATCCAGAGCCCATTTGCAAGTGCATGATTTGGGACCTCATTTTCCTTTAATGCAGATTGGCATGTATGGCACACATGTCTAGCACTGGGCACTAGAACTGGTCCAGACACTTCTTCCACAGAGTCACTGTCACTTGTCCGCTCTTTCCTTGTTATCCTTGACCTGCAGCATCCAACAGATGAAGACTGTTTGTCACAGAGTCAAGAGGAAGAAGTTTTGAAAGAGGATACAGCAGTCCACAGACAGCACAACCCAGTTCATGATGATGGGCTGGCTGTATCTCAGTGGAAAAGTCAGTTATGATCTGTTTCTGTGTAGTTTGACTCAATGGCAATGGGGGAAAAGGAGTTTTTGCTGTGTTTACTGCACTGGTATCCATGGCATTCCTGAAACGTTGCACTCTTGCAGTAGATTTGATGTGCCCTTTCCAATGCTGCATTAGACTTAGCATACTGCCACAGGATATTGCAGACATGGGATTTGACTGCTGAACGTATAGCAGCTACTGAGGACTTATTGGTGCAGTTGATATAATGTGCTTTGGCTATAGCCAACAGATACTTTTTAGGGAGAGTAAGCAGTTCCTGTAGTGGAATGTTTGCAGCCACCAAATTTTGTGTTTCCTTGAAGTAGCCATCTGTTTCATCAGGCTTACAATATGCAGTGAATGCAAACTGATCATTCGGTAGGTAGCTATTTTGTAATGGCTGAATGTGTGAACTTATGTGGGGGTTCAGTTGAGACCATAGCCATAGTTCCCCAGCATTATAGCGTGACTGTCCACCTCCCAGGAGGGCCACAGATGATTTCTTCACTGAACTTGAACTTTTTTGTCTAGCACTCGAAAAGAATGAAAATTTCAACTTCACAGGATCCATTTTTCTGCCCTGTAAGAGACCTAGTAGTGCTGTATGGAAGTCATGTCGGTACATGCTATATTGGCCCAAGTGCAACTTGATTTTCTTGATAATGGTATACAAATTGATGTGTGGAATAAGCATATACTGAAACACGGTGGGTTGAAAATTTTCATGACGTTGGGAAGGCAATGCTGGTTTTTTATTGGGAATATATTCTGATGTGGGCCAATTTGGAAGCGTTTTTGTGATGGTGCTTTCCTGAGCCATACCCATAATGGGTGCAGAAGATTTGGGAAATGTGTCTGCTAGCACATGTGGAGTGTATGCAGTGTACACCGATTGTGTGCACTGGTTGTTCATTGCCAAGCAACCATTCTGTGGCAATAGAAGTGATGTGCTTGTGTGTATAGGCAGTACACTAGCAGCAATAAACAGTGCCTGCACATACACATGCAACAGTACAACTGTGAACAGCAGCATGGACTTGGAGTTTGGGAGATACATGACAGCAGAAAGAAGAACAGTAGGCGCTCAAACAATGTAGAATGCAAACATGTGATGTGCTGAAATTCTCAGCACGTGACTGTGTTCACATGTGATAACTAAAAGGTAAAGTGATTGGGATAGCTGAGCTTATTCTTCCACTATATTCACGCAGTGATCATGCATGGAACATAACTGTCATAAAATCATAACATACATCATGGGCATACATCATATGGTCATAACATCAGCAAAGACATGCAGTAACATAGAGTCCACCCAAAATCCACCCCTCAGTCAAGATCGTTGGCCACCAGAACAGCTGCACCCACAACATTTAAGGAGAGACTTGGATGAGGTGTGGAAGCTGTGGTATACGTAGACACTGTATGGAATACAGCCACAATGGAGTGCTTGCTAGGCTCGTTGAATGTGCGGGGCACAACTGTTCAACAGCCTCAATGTCAAATGCTGCAGTAGCATTTGCATCAAAGAACTCTGTGCATCCCACACAGGTACTACAGAAATAAAGGTTGTTAATTATGATTGATATGGAAGATGTATTGTACTTACTCTCTTGACGGGGGCTCAGGGCTACACGCTCACCCAGGGTATCATTGATTATTTGGGGACGGCTACGGGTGAGTGCAGACTGGGGTTTACGAGGAGTGCGTGAGGGGGTTGTTGATGTGGAGGCTGTATGCTTGGCAGGGCTGTTGATGTACTTGTCGAGGTTGACCTTGCCACGACTGGAAGTAAATGCATCTATACAGGATATGAGCAGATATTATATTCTGGGTTGTCACATACATACCACGTTTGTCCACCTGCTCCAGAGTAGTGCCAAAGTTGACGTAGTTGTTGCTAACAGCCGGTGAGGACAGCTCAGGCTGTCCCAGTACCTCACACCAGAATGCCCAAGCAAGGTCAAACTCCACATCAAGGGGTATGATAGCAATGGACTTGCTAGTCCGCATGCCAACACCAGTCTTGAATTCACCTGCAGTGATCAAATGACTGTGCTCAACCACCCCAAACGTGACATTGATGACAGCATGATCTTCAAAGGTGACGACTGGCCGGTAGTACCCCGTCCCCATGGCTCCAAAGTTGTCTGGACATGCACGGGCAGGGTTCACAAGCCACATCATCCTGAATGAGAAGGTGAGGGTCTTCTTGAGGGCACTGTATATTATCAGTAAAGCCAAATATATGAACTTGCACTAGTTACTCACGCAGTCTGGAACTGAATGCCCTGCTCCGTAAATGATGCAACAAGATCATCTGCCCTGATGCTTGGATGGTTGGGAACATCATATTTCCTGATCACATTGGATCAGTTTAACATATGACTAGATTGGTGATAGACTCACTTCAGGGGCCACATGTTCTTGTATGTGTCCTTGAGCCAACCGTTGATCTTGCTTCTGTCCAGTTGCAGACAGTGCCTATGTTACCAGTAAAACTGACATTAATACAAAATCTCAGTAATGCAAACATAGACACTAACTTGTTGCCCTCGGGTGGCTGACGCTTGTACTCTGGACTTGCATAACTTGTGGACCATTAATATGTTGATTATAGGTAATGATAAGAGACCTTACACAGCACCCGCGATGGGTGAAACATCATGTTTGTTACTGTGTACTTATTAGTAAGTATCTGGATGCAATATATGAATGGAACCTACACAACATCCTTGCCCTTCTTCTTCTTCAATGAGCTCTTCACCTCAGGTACTTCTACAACTGGTTCAAGTCTGTATAAAGCAATTCAACAAACATCTTATAAAATTTGTATGATTTTCTTTACCTCTGCTTCCCGATGTACACGTCACTACTGTATAGAGTATCTCAGTACTAAGGTGCAGGTTCATAAGAGCTACTGTACATACCTGCTGCTGGATTTCCTGTCAAGGAACACATTCTCCTCAGCATCAGAAATGATGGCATCCTGCTTTGCCTTGCCCTTGCCCTTGGCACTAAAATTACAGTGTCAGTAGTATGCATACATAAATATATATATACCCACACTGTCCCTCGAGACTTTTTCGTAGGGGAGGCACTAATCATGGTATGATTGAATCAGCAAATGAATGACCAGAGAAATAATTCACATACGTCAGACTGTCATCATCACCTGGGCTTGGATGCTCATCACTTAACCCACACTTAGTACATATGACACTGCACAATATTTCCAGGTATTTACCGCTTCTTGTGAGACCTGCCCTTGCTGCATATTAATGTGTCAGCACAACATATACACAACACTACTTGAAACAACAAACTTAGGGGATGGAGTGGCTGGGGTCTCTGGTGGCCCAGAAGGGTTGCGTCTGTAGTGACATCAGCAATGAATATGTAGACTGTGTGACTGCACAAACCGCTTGACAGGGCTCTGTGGAGTTAAGCCAATCAGGTCATTGTCCCAGTCAGGGCTTGACAACAATGTCAGTCCACGCAGACAATATTCACAGCCAACACAAGGTACCTGGACTGAGACAGTTCCCTGCATAATGCATGGTAAGGACTATGAAAGCATATTAATAACAAAAATGCCTTACAACACAGATGGTTTCCTTGTGAGCTTTCCACGGGGCTTCTTAGCTGATTTAGGAACCCTGGTAATGACTTAGTACATTCAATGACTCATGAACCATGCATAAGACTCACTCAACAACCACTACCTCATCATCCGTATCCTCCTCAGGCTCTATGTCCTCAACAGCCTCAACACTCTCCTCCTCACTATCATTGGTGACATCACCCTCCTCAGCATCACTCTCCTGATCATCACTACCAGCAGCCTCATCATCAATCAGAGACACAGCCTTCTTAGCAGCCTGAGCTCTGTAAGCAATTTGAATAAGTGATCTTCATAATATACACATAATATACGTACTTCTTTCCAGAGCCCACAAGCTTGGATTGTCTAGTGATATCCAATATTAGTTTAACATTATTATACTGCATACTGCATTGACATACATGGGCTGATCAGACTCTGTACCACTCGTCTGCTCATCATCTGATGTAGCAGTCGCAGGGGGAAGAGCATGCTTAGCAGTAGAACTAGAATTAGATTAGATTAGAACAGCAACAGTATACCAATTTAACGCACCGCTTGGCAACTACAGGCTGCTTCTTAGTCTCCATTACAGAAGACTTTGTCTTGACCGCAGGTCCAGAAGCCTTGGTGGCCTTAGTGGCCTTTGCAGCCTGGGATCTAGTACGGCTGCAATAGCCATCATAAAACAATACCAATACCAATAATAGTGCAGTAACGTACGCAGACATTGCAAGGCAAGGGTGTGAGATGTTTCAGAGAGCAATTGGGATGCACGGGAATCAAGGTGCAGATTGTCTGCCTATATATGCAGGATCCATCCACCTTATCATATGATTAATCAGCTTTTGATCCATCAATCAGATGCTTGGCATCACCGCAGCATGTGAAAATGGGATATGTCTCATGAGAGCTGCTCAGTTCTATGATCTTCTCCTCAAACCCTTGTACTATCCATGAATAACTGCATTGTATCTAGCACAAGTATTAATGAGCACATCACGACAGCAGCAAGTAACACAAGAAACTTGAGATGACTGAAGGACCACTCAATCACAATATTTTCCAATCAAAGAAGCATGATATGTTTCAGTGCCTCATGTTGATATGGAAGCACAGCCGTGGAACTGTGCAATCATGAACAAATTATGGTGTGATTTAATGCAATGTGAGCTTACTATGTCTGTTCCCAGAACATCACCAGATTGTTGCTGTGGACATCTATAATGGCTCTTGTCAAGCTCTATGGTGCAAGTGATAAGTACAGTGAGTACATGATATCAAGCAGTGACTTACCAATGTAGACATTTGTGTCATCAGGACAAAGCCTCCAGGATGAACTGATGCGGGCAATGAACGGAAAGAAATCATCCATACAGATGACCTCAATGGTGAAGGTAGAACAATAGACAAAAGATTTAACAGCTGTAACTGACATACAGTATAGGCAGATCATGTCCACGCATCAACTACACTGCTTGACAACAGTGTTGCCAAGGAGAAGCTGCTGATTTACACAGAGAAAGAAGACAGCACACATGAAGAAGTTGTACTCAATGTACAGGGGTATATGTTGAAGGCAAAACTGCCACCTATAATGCGTGACAATGAGTATGTACCATATAACATGTCAGATTAACACCCTACCTGACAAATAGTCTCTAGGATTGCTCGGACCAAGCTTGTTCACACTGAGCAATATGTCCGCATTGGAGGGCTTGGCAGTGCACAATTTGATCAAAGTGCAGTTGCCATGATGAACATACATCAGCTCTTTGAAAGCAGGCTGGGCAAGGGATGTCTGCAAGGCTGGGATGTCAAACGTGAACAAGGCCACATTGTCCTGGACTTTCACAACAGATACCTCACTCCGCGCAGCAGTGCTTCCTCTGCGAGCATCATGGATATTCCTCATGACTATGACCCTCGCCATATACTGCGTTCACACATGACGGATGAGGTATTCACCTCTGACAATGTTGTCCAATACTATGAACGTGTACAGGATGTCAACCGTCAGGCGTGAGTGCAGTTATATATATGTCTGTGCAATAAACTCACATATACCCATAGCAAATACCACTTCAAGACGTCACATCCTACCTCAGTCAGTGTTGGGCAGATGGTTGAAGTGCAGTCATCCTTTGTGGCTGTACCGCGGGGCAAAGACAAGTACAAATTGATATGCAAGCTTCGTTCTATTTGTGTACTTGACCGCAGCATTGAGAACGTGAGTCATGTACATTGTGGTATTGAAGGGCACATAAAAACAATGACCCACAGGAATTGAATCAAGAACGTATTCAACTGGCATTGCAGAAGACATCTCCCACCCGCAAGGTCAAGCGAGTTGTTGGGTATGATGATGATGACAGTGATGTCGAGGAGACACGGGATGAAGTGAAGCGCATGCGGATTGATGAGGACAATGGGTCTTAAGTCATACGATAGTTGTCAATCCATCATTGCTGGTCATTACATATAGTTGGCAAGATCACATTACATCAGATGTGTGGAGTTGAATCCACAGAACAACAAGGAGTTGAGTCCTAGTGCCACAGCACCTACAACCGGTAGTACACCTCCTCCTCGTCCTCATCGTCATCATCAGCCATCTCTTCACCTTCATGCAATTCCCGGAACCACTTCCCATGCTCCTTATCCAGCTTCGTTGGGTCATATGAGACCTCCCAGAGGCACCGATAGGTGCACGTATTGTTGATGCACTGGTAGCCTGCGATATGTGTCTTGTTATGGTTACGACCCGTCCTGCCCTCCAAACAGCACAGAGCTTTGCAGATAGGGCACTGGTACGGGAGTGGATGGCCAGCAGGCGCAAGTTTGGGATGGTGCCAGACGTACTTCTCGACATCCACACGTCTATCGCCCATCAAGCTTTCATAGCGGAACACGACAATGCTGCTGTGACGACGAAGGGTGAAGGACATGCCTAGCATCTTCGACATCGTGGACGGCTTTGGGACAGCTAGCTCGATGATGACGCGGGTTGCAAAGTGGCCCACAAAATCAGAGCAGAGGTGCGCATTCAGAGTGGCAGTCGTGAACCCCAACGTGAAGGGGACCTTGTACAGGAACAGCTGTTCCCTGAGCGCCTCGAGGGACTCCTTCTTGTTGACGATGGCACCACAGGCAAGGATGAACATGTAGTGGAGGCGTATAACATGGCAGAGCTTCTTGAAGTGCTCCGTGAGGACGATGGTGAACCACTACACAATGATTAGATAAGTATGTGTTCAGACAACACATGACGTACATCCTCTATTGATGACGCTGCGTTACTGCATGATACAGATCTCCAACTTGCACATTGCTGTGCGTATAGATGAACGTCACAACGCGGACATTTGGTATGCTGCAGACAACACGTCATAATGTGGTCCTGAGTAGATAGAACTACATACGTCATGATACCCGCACACAACTTCTCCATCTTTCTGCTGTGAATTGCTGCGTCTCTGTCCGTCTCGAAGTTGAATGGGATGTCGAAGTACTGAAGGTTCCCCTTTGTATTCCAGAAGTAGCTGTTGAGGTTCATATGGAACAGATCGGGTATACTGGCTTCCTTGGTGAGTGATTTCAGACGAAACGATAAGATCACCACTGGAGCAGTGGAGCAGAATGCGTGCTGAGGAGCCACCATGGTTCCCGTCACACGGGATGGCTCGGAGTGTACATTCCGAGACCCGTTATGGCTGTGAAAGGCCTACACAATGCTTAGACTTGAATGGGACACATCAAATGTTACGTACATGGTATTTATCGGAGTTGCCAAGGGTCATCACATGACAAGAAGGACACAGGAAATGCCAGTCTTCCTGCACGGTGGCGATGTCAATGTTTCCAAGACAGTCTGTGCAGACGTCACGGTGACAAATGTCGCAGTTGATGAGGCCACCGCCATTGTGGCAAATGACACAGTACTAGTGTCACAGGATAATCAGTCTGTGCGTACGCACTGAAGGAACAGACACATCACCATGGATTCAAAATCATCCGGCTCATCATCAAACGACATGTCATCATTGTCAGACTGGTCCGTCACCTCATCTGGCTGCTCGTCTTCAATGAGGTCGTCTTGTGCCAAGGCATGAATTCCCGCCACAGAGAGGTTGTTGCGGTACTCCATGTGGGACAACCCCACACTGCGCTTTGCATTTTGCTTTGTACGGGCCATTGCTATGATAGTACTCAATCATAATCAGCATAGTCCAAGGGACACAAAAATGTCAATATACTCACAAGACAACGTAGGGCTTAGGCAGTTGATGGGATGAAAGGGGAAAGGACAGAATCTCTTGGGGGAACACACCCATCCTTATGCCCGTTGTTTCATCACCTGAAGAGATCAGCTTCTGATGCCAAGGTCTGATACACGTGTCCATGCACATGGTATGAGCTGCAGATAAGCCACGCACATGATATGTGCTGCAGATAAGATGCATCATTTCAATCACGTGATCTTCTCATGCTTCCGACATGGTCCGAGTTTCAGATCATTCATTACACGTCACACAGACAGAGTCCACAGATTGTACACCAGTGCAAATAAACCAAATAAGCGAGATCAGCCATGAATGCATAAAGACTGGCCACGTCTTCATACAGCCATGGATGAGAGGAAGTGGGAAAACTGTACATAAAACAAAGAAACAAAGAATGACTATGTAGTTCTGTCTATGTGTTCCGTAAGTTCAATTCATATCATGAGACTATATGATATACGTACCTTGAGTGAATGATCCAGTGTTGTGCCATACTACACACAGATGCAGAAGCTGACAACCATTAGTATGACATACTGCATATATGGAATGTACCACTCACCCATACCACATGTTTACTGCCTGCAATATGCCACGTCACCCAGGTTCAACATTGGCCCTGTACTGGAAACAAATATCAGTGCAGTATTGCATACAGATTGAGAACGTACCAGATCTTATGCATCTACAATATGGACATGTGTGTAGCATGACCGTCAGATCCAAAGTACCCATACAAACAAGAGATGGCGCACACCAACCAAGTGTCAGTGCGGAGGCCCTCTTATGCCCAAATGACATATGCTTGTTTGTTATGACAGAGTCACAATGATGCCCCCAGAACCCAACAACACTGTAAACAAGTGACAGCGCACGCCAACCAATATCAGCGAGGAGGCTCCCAAACACCCAAATGGCATATGCTTGTTTGTAGCAACCGTAGTCACTGGAAAGCCCCCAGAATCAAAGTAAAGCCCCCAGAGCCCAATACAACAGCAACCTATATCAGAGTAGGTCAATGTATTATACTCAAATACATACATACATTGTGTCAACCAGCCTAGCAAGGCTACCTGCATGCCCATGGCAACATGCAAATAGTCTGTCTAGGCTGGGACTGTTGCAAGGGCCAGCATTCCAGAAGAAAGATGGAGAGGAATAAGACAAACATGGGGGTTGGGAATGAGGAATTGCAATCGCCAATGCCCACTATATGTGACAAGAAAAGAGGCTTGGCATCAGGGCACATGTGACACGTGCTCTTTACTATGACTCATCATGTAGCTAGCTGATAAGGATACATGATAAGTTGCACTATGCGGAGATGTCAGACAATATAGACATATACAGTCAAGCATACTGTACAGTATATTCATAAGCAAGTCTACAATGAATTACTCAATACTTACTTTTAGTCCAGTACAGTCATTTTTGATTAGTACAATTGAGGCCAGCACAAGACCAATATGAAAATTTGATAAATGAAAATTTGATTGATTCAGACATAACCGTTCCGCACCGCAAACACACGCGGACGGGCGGGTCGAGGTAAGGAGGTGGGCTGGGGCCTGGGTGGACGGATGACCACCCATACACCTGGAACCTGTGACCACTTTGGCGGAAACGATCGCGCTGGGCTCTCCCAGCATGGGAGAGCCCTACACAACCGTTCCACACCACAAACGGGCGCGGGACGGGCGGGTTGAGGTTGAGGAGGTGGGCTGGGCCCTGGGTGGACAGAAGTCCACTGAGAGCAACCAAACCCGCGGCTGTTTCGCGGGAAATGGTCGTGCTGGGCTCTCCCAGCATGGGATAGCACAACATGACCATGCGGCACCGCAAACGGGCGCGGGACGGGCCTGGCACGACTTGACCCGTGCTGAGCACCCTGGGTGGACAGAAGCCCACCCAGACGCCTTGAACCAGTGGCTGTTTCGCGGGAAACGGTCGCGCTGGGCTCTCCCAGCATGGGAGAGCCCGACACAACCGTTCCACACCACAAACGGGCGCGGGACGGGCGGGTTGAGGTCAAGGAGGTCAGCTGGGCCCTGGGTGGACAGAAGTCCACCCAGCGAGCTCGGACCCGCGACCGTTTCACGGGAAACGGTCGCGCTGGGCTCTCCCAGCATGGGAGAGCCCGACGCAACCGTTCCGCACCGCAAACGGGTGCGGGACGGGCGGGGCGAGGTGCAGTGGGTGAGCCGGGCCCTGGGTGGACAGAAGTCCACCCAGCGAGCTCAGACCCGCGACCGTTTCACGGGAAACAGTTGCGCTGGGCTCTCCCAGCATGGGAGAGCCCGACGCAACCGTTCCGCACCGCAAACGGGTGCGGGACGGGCGGGGCGAGGTGCAGTGGGTGAGCCGGGCCTGGGTGGACAGAAGTCCACCCAGCGAGCTCGGACCCGCGACCGTTTCACGGGAAACGGTCGCGCTGGGCTCTCCCAGCATGGGAGAGCCCGACGCAACCGTTCCGCACCGCAAACGGGCGCGGGACGGGCGGGTCGAGGTCGAGTAGGTGGGGCTGGGTGCTGGGTGGACAGAAGTCCACCCAGCGAGCTCAGACCCGCGACCGTTTCACGGGAAACGGTCGCGCTGGGCTCTCCCAGCATGGGAGAGCCCGACGCAACCGTTCCGCACCGCAAACGGGTGCGGGACGGGCGGGGCGAGGTGCAGTGGGTGAGCCGGGCCCTGGGTGGACAGAAGTCCACCCAGCGAGCTCAGACCCACGACCGTTTCACGGGAAACGGTTGCGCTGGGCTCTCCCAGCATGGGAGAGCCCGACGCAACCGTTCCGCACCGCAAACGGGCGCGGGACGGGCGTGTCGAGGTCGAGTAGGTGGGGCTGGGCGCTGGGTGGACAGAAGTCCACCCAGCGAGCTCAGACCCGAGACCGTTTCACGGGAAACGGTCGCGCTGGGCTCTCCCAGCATGGGAGAGCCCGACGCAACCGTTCCGCACCGCAAACGGGCACGGGACGGGCGGGTCGAGGTCGAGTAGGTGGGCCGGGCCCTGGGTGGACAGAATTCCACCCAGCAAGCTCGGACCGACGCGCCTGCGCACGGATCCGGTCGCGTAGGACTCTCCCAGCATGGGAGAGCCTGCCGCGACCGGAACCGTGCATGACGCGCGGCCTGGCAGCTCGGGAAGGGGTCCTGGGGTGTGTGTGTGGCTCGGTGGACGGAAGTCGACCGAGCGAGCTCAGACCGACGCGCCTGCGCACGGAACCGGTCGCGTAGGCCTCTCCCAGCATGGGACAGCCTCGCGCAACCTGTACCGTGCATGACGCATAGGTAGCGGGCGCGGGACAGGTTGATGGAGCTCGAGTGGGTGGGCAGGCGTCGAGTGGAAGTCGAAATTGTCAGTAATTGTGGAAGGTCAGTAAATGTGTCACTCACCTCTTTCTTTCCTTTAGCCCCTCCCACTCCCTCCCACCTCTCTGCGGGCTGTTCGATGCGCGTCGTTGGACGCGATGGACTTGGCTGAGGGTGCTCGAGGAGGATCGCTCGAGCGCCCTCAGCCACATGTTCGGACTCAGCTCGAGTCCGCCATGCCGAGCGGGCGCCTAGCCATATACGGACAGGCACGCGTCCGTTTATGGTAGCGGGTTCGAGGTCCGAACCCTTTTTGAGCGACCGGAGTCGTCGACAGGCCGGAATTCCGGCCTGTCGACGACTCCGCCGCGGCACACGGGCGCTTACGCTCACTCGAGTGGGCGGCTGCCCTCTGCGATGTTGGACTTCTCTGTTTTCCCTCATCTCCTCCGAAACCTCTGGCTGTGTAGCCCTCCCCTGTGCCATCCATCCCAAATTCAACCTGAAAACCCATGGTAAGTGCATCTCTAACCTGTTTTGGGCCCTAAACAGGCTGAATACCCACTGATTGCCCCTTTTCATGCCAGTCCCAGCCTGGCCTGCCCCCGGGTTTCCCTGGAGAGTTCAGAGATGAGAATGGGGTTGAAAAATAGTGAGTAAATCCCGAAAATATTCCCTGATGCCCTGTGAACACCTGCATGGGCAGCTATTCCAAGGCCTATCTGTTTGGCATACCTGCCAGCGTGATTTTGGGGCTGGTAGAGCGTTGGGAGCCCCTACCTGACCGCCCTGAGTCTGCACCCCCTCTTTTCCGCTATGATGACCACCCTGAGTGCCCGGGTGTGCGCCATATGACCCATCCGCGTTGCTACCTCGTGCTGGTGGACAATAGCGAGGAGGGTGCGAGGGCCATCGGCATGAGGAAGCCTAGCGACTGGGTCACACCTAAGGTAACTGAGCAGGCGGCGTTGGAAGAAGGTAAGTGAGTTTGTTTAGGTATGATTAGCGCCATTGACGCCTTTTTAGGCTGGTTCGCGCTTCAAGCACGTGACTCGGTCATTGCGCGGCCTGTCTACGTTGACGGCGAGTCGAACATAACACCAGACCAGGATGTGCTGCGCACGTACATCTACCCACAGCAGTGAGTGAATTCAGTACATCCTTCCTCTGCATGCTGATTGTCCTATGCAGGGACATGCCCACCGAGTATGTGGATGGCTACTTAGCTGTTCGTGACCGGATCATTGGGCCGGCTGATGCTGACAACTTGCTGCGCGCACCTCCCACCCGAGATGCGCACAGCAAGTGGGTGAATGGTACTGCCTTCAAGCGCCTTGTCCTTGACAAGGGCTTGAAGGATCACCGCAAAGATGGTCGTGTCTACGCCATTGCTCAGTCGCAGCAGAGGCAGAATGGTATCCTGACGCCCTGTGTCGAGAGCAAACTGTTCTCTGATGAGGATGGTGAGGATGTTCTCATACGCCGTGAGCTCACACGTGTAAGTACATCTTGCGCATACATGTGTGTTACTGACTTGTACTTTCAGCTTGGTGGTGGACTCGGTACGCACGTCTTGCGTGAGATCCAGCCTGAGCTGTACGGTATGCTGGAGAACATTGCGAAGCTGCTCGGGTACTTCCGCCCGGGCACGACAGACAATGTCTGCTTCAGCGGTAGCCAGCTGAACATTTCTCCACCTGAGAAACTTAGTGAGCTGCTCAAAGGCAAGTCCTTTTTCGCTTTTTTTTACGCTTTTTTCACTCTTTTTCCGCTTTTTTCCGCTTTTTTCAAGTCTCTGACTATGTCCTACAGGAGCTGGTGACCTGAACAAGTCTCTGGGCACCTTTGGTGGTCTACACCAAGATGATCAGGACTCTGCAGGTGCGATGTCTATCATGACTGTGTTCTCGAAGTTTCATGAAGGCATACACCCTGGTATCTTCCTCTTTCCTGAGATACATGCCTTCGTGAAACTTCCAGACAAGTTTGCTGAGGTCGAGACGGAGAGGGCAGACCTGCTCACGGTCTTGTTCTCTGGGCTACACTATCACGGTGGCATGAGCCCGTATGTCTCTGACCCGCATCAGTCCATCGCGAGTGACGCTCTGCGCCTCAACCATGTGATGTACCCTATGGGGAAAATCATGAAGGGGCAGTCTGTGCTTGCTCTTGCAGCCCTCCCAGGCGGAGAGCATAGTGGCCTCCAGGTAGGGCCTGAACTTTACAACCCTGAGTGAGTCCGATTATTTTCGTCTTTTTTTGCGCTTTTTTACCTGATATATTACAGCTTTGATGAGGACCGTGGCTGCCACTCCAACCGTCTCAGCTATGCTGTGGATGGTCTAGCCATTGGTGATCGCCAGTCTGTGGGTGATTTCACTGTTCGCAAGCTTTATGACCTCGCGCGCTTTGCCTTTGGTCAGACGGGCATCAGCCCGTCTATTGACCCAGAGTCGTTCTTCAGAGCGTTCTCTGCACGCGACGAGAGCGGCGACGTGATGACCTTCCAACCTACTGGCCTTGAGGCTGTCCTTGAGCCTCCAGCCGGTGGGGAGGAGCGTGCAGAGGCTGTCATGGCTGAGCGCGCTAAGATCTGGCGGTTGTGGAAGGAGCACCAACTGCGCTATGCGGCGGTGACTCCTCGGGTGACCTACCAGAGTGATATTGTTGAGCTGCGCAAGTCTCTGGGAGTTCAACCTCCTATCAGCCGTCCTGGACGTATGTGCTTTCTTGTTCATCTTCTGGACTTAGCACTGATTTGGACGTGTGCAGGTGCTAAGAGTACGTCGTCTTGTATTCTGTTCTCTTGTTTGACTGATGTATTCTTTACAGAGCAGTCTAGAGTGCAGACAGATGCTGCTGAGTGCTCTGTCAAGCCTCAGAAAGTGAAGGACAAGAACAACAAGAAGGACAAGAAGCGCAAGGAGCCAGAGGAGGAGGAGGAGGAGGAGTTAGGAGGTGAAAGACCTTCACAATGTCGTGAGTACTGCAATTTTCATATGTTCAACTAAAATCTAATGTACTCCTCATAGGTCGAAATGATCAGGAACTTGAAGAGGATGGTACGCATTTTCTCCTGATTTTCTGTGATTTTCGGCACTTTTTTGCGATTTATTCCGCTTTTTCACTGATTTTCCATGTACTGATTGAACTTATGTTCTACAGCTGGTGCTGTTATAGGACGAGGTGTGGGGAGGAAGGTGCATGCTCAGGCTACTGCTGGGCCATCTCCTGCTGCAGGCAGTAGCTCCTCTCAGCCTGTTCAGCGTGGGGGAGGTATGACTTTGCGTGCACGCACTGCTAGACGTTAGTTTTAGCATGTCTTTGCTTGTTGACACACTCAATGTATGGTTGCAGAACACTATGCTGATGGAAGCGACAATGAAGATGATGGCATGGATGATGGGCAACTGGTGCTCATGTCAGACTTGTTGTCTGCAGCGCCTATTGCACTTGAAGTCCCAGACTTAGAAGGTGAGCATTGATTCCGATAAAATCCCCATTAATTCACTCTTGCTTTTCTGCAGGTGCAGACGCAACTAGGGCGTCTTCTGAGCATGAAGATGCACCAGAGACATCAAACATCCAAGCTGTAAAGCGTAAGTTCATTATTCAGACTGCAGAATGCTTACTGACAGCGGAACTTAGCATATGCAAAGGTGCTTCAACTCTTCACTGCAGACAACTTCAACGCCATGGCGGCTATCTTCCATGATGCTGCTGCAGCCTTAGCTACAGGCTCAGGATCCCTTGGCATTGCCTACAGTCAGGGGATCCAGACAGTGTTGAACGCTTTTGAGCGTGATGACTCTAGTCTGGTATGTTCTATTGACTTTGCGCTGGCGCTCAAGCAGGTAAGTCATGTTGTTCTATGTCATGTTCTCATGCTTTACTGAACAACATCCTAGTGCTGGTTGGGCAGTGGTAGCTTTGCGCGCTCTGACTCTGTTCAGCGTGTGAAGCAGGCTGTTCTACGCTCAGAGAACATGCTTGTGTCGCACTATGCGTGGCGTTGGCTGGACTCTGTTGCCATCAACTACTGTGCGTCCATGATTACTCGTTGTGGCGGGGATCAGTGTCCTTTCCCACCCCAGCACTGGCTTGCTTGTCTCACTTATCATGCCTATCATGCGCTCTTCGACCATGACCGTCGGGTGCGCGCACTGGAGCGCGCACACTTCCTTCCCTCTCTTCCTCCACTCTCCACTGCAGTTCCACGCCCTGATCGCTCCATTCCTATGACTACTACGGTTCTCAGCTTCATTCAGTCCACTCTGCGCATCTGGCTTGACTTCCCTGCTGGTCCCTCCTCACTTCTGCAGGCAACCTTTGTGCAACACTTGCTCACCGTGTTCCGCTCTACGGACATACTCCTTCTGGATGGTGTCTGGGATGTGTATAGGTATCCCAAGGCCTCTCTTATCCCTGCTGCCGACCACCGCCGCTCCACCATTACGCGCGCGCATTTGGACCCATTCCACCTCGACCTCCTTACACTTCCTGTCATTGCGCACCCCAACTCTGCAGATGCGCGTGCGTATGCGCACTTTGCGCGCAAGTTCCTTGCAGTACGTGCTCCATCGACTTCATCTCTCTCCACCTCTTCCCCATCCATGCCCAATGCCGCACCCGGGCTTCAGCGTCTGTTGGACTTTGTCACAGACTGCTACGGCATCCTCCCTTACCTGGAGCATGGCCCTTCTGCGCAGGAGCGCAAGCAGCTCAGCGCTGTTCAGGTGTGGTGCCTTGATGACCAGGACAAGCGTCTGCCGTTCCGTGAGCTTGCCGCAGGTCGTCGCGCAGCCAGGTCACCCAGTGGCCCCTTCCATCCTGCCAACTTCAACAAGGAAGGTGTGATTGCAAGTACTCTCATTATCCGTGGTATCCTCTTCAGCTGCGCCGTTACGCATGAAGAGCCCACCTTCTTCCAGGACTTGCAGTCCTTCAACAACCTCGTCGCTAAGTGCCAGTCCTCTGACGACCCTCGCATTTCCAACCCCCTCTATCTCTGCAACCAGATGGCGTATGGCTCTCGCATCAGCGGACGTGGGCTGGACTTAGCGGAGAAGTACTTTGCAGTGGAGTCACACTTCCGCATGGTCTTTGAGTCCAAGGTTCCTTATCTGAAGGCGCGCGCGGAGTTCCTTGCCAGGAAGAAGAAAACTTCGCAGAAGCTCGTTCCCCAGGTCGGCCCGCTCATTGCTACCTTGCTTGCATCTGACTATGTCTATGTGGACAAAGTGGAGATGCCGACGGTGGATGAGATGGCAGGTCTTGTCAGTGGGTTGAAGGCAGGTGCATGGTCAGGTTTGGAGCGTCTGGAGCTGATCTCTGGCAGTGCAAGTCCAGAAGATGTTGTGCAGGCATTCAAACTTGCCTACAACTATCTGGACTCTGCACTGTCTGAGGAGGTGAAGAGGGACATCAAGTTTGATGTCATCATGGTGGAGCATACCTTGTGCAAGGTGAAGCGTTGGGATAACAACTAGATACAGACTGTGTATTGTTTCTTGTTCTTGAACTTAGATGTGATGACTGGCACATATGTAATGAATACTTGTTCACAAGCTAATGGATGCCACACTGGCATAAAATGGCCAAGCAATTATCTGAGCATGTACTTTCCTCCCCACATCTGTATTGGCAACAGCTATAGAACATCAGGTCAATCTCAATCAGTATATGAAAAAAGAAGTACTGTAGTATGCAAGACATTGAATATAATCATAACTTGATCCCAAAGAGGGCACAAGGATGAGCTCAATGGCATCCACTGGCATGCATATGCGATTGAGTCTGAGTCAATTCCAATACAAACAGTGTGACATAAGTCATAACACAGTGTGACAGTCATGATAACACCATGTCACTCACATGTCACTCACATGTCACTCACATGTCACTCACATGTCACTCACATGTCACTCACATGACAATACAGTGTCACTAACATGGTAACATAATAACAACAGGATGGGATGTAACAGATTGAATCAGGTATTGGACACTTGCTCCATATTACAATGTGTTGTGCATGCTTCTAAGTTGTTCATGAACCCTCACAAACACTTTGTAGGTGGGAATGGGTTGACAATCTGATAACTTGACTACATTGTACTGAATGCAAAGGACACACATATCCATGTGTCTGTGAGTGCCCCACTTATGTCACTTTATACAACCAATGTAATAGAAAATACTGTGATGAAATCAGTCATAGAATACTCAATACTGTATACCCATATAATTGTCTGTCTATCTAAGCCATACAATGAGTGCTTTCCATGGCAAGACACTACAGATTTGATATATTCTACATGTTGTGCAGGCTCATAAGTGTTTTATGACCATGAACTAATGTAGGGTTGCCCAGAGTATCACTGAAGTCAATTACCCTGTGAGTTATACAGAAAGTGATGTATGGGTTATTTGTTCACCAACATGGCTCATTTCTATAACTTCATACCTTGCAACTAGTATGGCATATTGTAGTAGAACTTCATTGTACATGGTGAATCTACATGTACAATATGGAAGATATCACAGTGAATGACTTGATGTATGTGTCAAAACCATAGTATCCATTGTCATCAATGAATTATGCTGCTGATGATCCATTGACAAAAGCATTTTGTGCATCTACACCTTTATATGTAATCCACACAGATACCATACACTATGTCCAATGAATAATTTACAGTTCATGATTCATTTAGCAACCTGTGCAACTCAAGAAAGCATAGTCAAATCCTTCTGGTCCATTCAATATCAAGTGTGGATATTAGCAACAGTGTTACATCTGGAGCATGGAGCTTCAGCCAAGTGTAAGCAGCCACTCAAGATGAAAAACAAAGCCAGTCACTGCATGATTACCATATGGAGGATGTGACATTCCCAAATAGGAATCATGCACAAATCAGTTGATATGGGGCTCAGAAAAAATGCAGGAAAGCCATGAAATATATAGACACATCAAAGACAAGTCTACCTTTGCTTTATGCTGCAAATGATTGCCATTACATTGTATACAATGGCCATATTATGGCAAAAGGTGCTCAGACTGCCTGTTATAATCCTTATTAGCATCTCAACCACACATATATGTATTACAGTTGACAGACATACCATATTTTGGCCATAACCAAGTACTTTGAATTGGCACAGGCACATGTGCATTTTTTTGGTTTGCATTTCCTGGCCTAGCCAGCCACTGTATGCACTCCGTAAAATCCCCATATACTCTCTGAATGAAGGGTTATCAGATGAGCATATATGTGTACTAATTAGATGTTACTAGCTGGGTCTACTAGTGGTCTACAATATGTGAGCATTTGCAGTGAGCTGCCAGGCAGACAGTCACATGACAGATTTAACAGTTTCCTTATTGGGGGAACTGCTAAGGTGTTTCATGGCCCTCATATCCATAACAGAGCGCTTAACCACTGCATTTGTTTGTACCTGTTGGTGCAAGTCGCGTCGTCTGGGAGTCTGAAATTTCAGACTCAGATAAGTAACCCATACTAACAGTTACTTATCTCTGCTTATCGGGGTGGCTGCAAGTCACGTGCACTGTGGGAACAAACTGCCATTTCGGAGGAATCGCTAAGGCGTTTCATGGTGGTCCATCATAAGAACGATACCTTCGTACCTCAGGGATCGTAACGGAGGCCAACCCGCCCACACATGCTGATTATGAGCGCGTTGACTGGGTAATGCTGTCGTTCAATCTTATGATTGCCTAGGCTGAGTGCACATTTTGTAGGATGCAGACACGAGGATGGTGCGGTGGCTTGCCAGGAACTCATCTGACCCCACTGCACCAATGGGCCAGACCAATCGCCTGCTTGTGGATGTTATCGATTGGAGTAGTGTCACACCAGACACACAGCGCGAGTATTACGCCTCAATGCGAACCAGCCTGGCCGAAGGACGCTCTGTGGTGGTCACTCATGCAACGGACAAAATGGACTGGGCCCATCTAGAATGGAATGTCGAGACCGCAGAGAAGCTGTTCCCAACTACAGAGTGGGAAGTGCAATGGCAAGGTAGGTCTTTCTCATGGCTGATCCGGCTAAGTAATATTCACACAGGATCGCTTCCACAGATGTGCACCTACGCTATGAACGGTATGCTCAGGGATGTTTGCCTTCTCGAAAGCGGAATTGTCAAAAGGACACTGAACACCACAGCGGATCAGTGACCGAGTTTATGGCAACTGCTGATGATTCAGGGCAGTGTGCCAATTGCCTGGACATCCCGTTATATCACAAGCACCTGCTGTGACCAGATTTCATTACGTGAGTGACAATAAATTTATCTGTCCAGCAGTGCTCATTATGCCACTGTAGGGAACTAGCTGACGGTGAAAGGGCCTGGGATATGACCCGGAAGATTGGACACCGAATGCCCAACTCGCTACACTGCGGTATTGACACCCCGCTGCTAGACTATAGCGGACCACGTGTTGAGCCCGCTGACCTCAAGACACTGGGGAGCTGGGGGCTGATGGCAAACGGGGGGTTTTATACATATCCCCACTACGATGTGAATGGTGAGGCAACATGGGTGAGCCCCACATGCGGGGGGAAGATATGGACCTTGTTTCGTGCCCATGAGCAGGCTGATGTTGGGAAGGCGCGTAAGGCCATGCTCAAGTTCGCGACGATGAAGCACGACAACATGCCAGAAGCCATCATGGATGAGTTTGACGTTGGCACGCTTTTCCTCCTACCTGGGACAGTCCTGTGAGTGCTACAGTCACACTGAGCGTCTGGCTGTACTCAACATATTTTCATAGAATTCAATGTCCTGGCACATTCCACTGCGTGTACACGCCAGTGAAGACCATTGCTATCGGGGGGCATTTCCTGAACTGGGACTGTCTACACCACACAGCAATGACTCGCTTGGTGGAGATCGGTGCGAAAGAGGATGGCACGAATGCTGTCCACACATCTGTGTTTCGGGAACTTGCCCGCATGGTCATGTCTCTGACAGTTTCCAGCATCCTCGCTTCAAGTGAGTGAGAGCCTAGATATTTATAGTGCATAGCGTGGGTGTACCCATGGGTGTCTCAGAGCATACCCATACCATACCCACATGGGTTGCATACCCATGCCATGGGTATGGGTTTTGCATGGGTATTATGGGTACCCATGGGTATGGGTAATGTTATGGGTAGTCCTATGTGCAGTTCATGCTCAATGGCTTGCAAGATATGATGACACTTATTGTGCAGAGGCCAGACTATCAGTCAGGCACTGTACAGTTGGTGAATTCTCATCATAAATTGATGCTATGTGCATGACCAAGGATGAGCACCTCAGACCAGTTCACTGACTGTGTGCTCAATCACAACAGTGGGAGTTTCCAGTTTTTGTCCCACATACATGCAAGAACAATAGAAAGAGGAGTGGGTATGGGAGGGGTCAAAGCAAGGTTCCAAGTGTATCAAAGTCAAACATAGCAACACACAGGGGTGTACCCTTTTCCAAGTTGTAGACTTGTAGTGTTGTTGGCATGTCATGCTCACTTTTCAAACTGCAATAGAATGGGCAAGTGTGTTGCCTGAAGTAATAACTGAATGGTAGGTAATACAGGATATGCAAAGATGAAGGGGAAAACAATGTAAACAAGGCACAAGGATCACGGAAGCAAGGTATGTATTACAACTCATAACTCTGGTGGTTATACAAGTGTGCCATAACAGTACAAATAGCTATGCAGGTCCACAAGAACTGAGGATTGAAACTAGCAAGGTTGTATACATCAATAGATCTTACATATTTGACCAGATATGAACAGTGAGGCAATGGGCAGAGCCTTATAACATGTGCTGTTTACATATAGCAGTATCACAGGTCAACAGTCAGCAGATGAATATACCTCAGACTCAACAACTACAAAACTGAATCACAGGAAAGATGTAGCAGCAATCATGCTGATTTCTTTTCCATCAGGATCCCTTGTCACAGGTGACCAACTAAGCATTACACAGTATTACCAGCTGTCTAACAAGGACAGCTTTAAAGTAAGTAGGATTCAGTATGGTCACATTGTTTGGTAGAGCATTCCAGCTACACCATACTGACAAACACATGGCACTGCAGTAGCCATCATTGTGCATTGAAAAGATTAGTCAAGCTTTCTCCTAATTTTTCATTTGAGCCACAACAGCACATACACTGCAATGCACATTAGATATTTCATTTACTTATTTGATGGCCTCAGCAATCTGTGTATTTTATTATAGCATATCAATGTTGGCAAAAGCCATGTCATGCATGGTCAATGAGTCTTGAGGGAAATGATTGGTGACTTTACCATACTGCCACTATTGCAAAATACTTTCAAGCAAGCTTCAGAAAGGTGATACCCTAAATGCTAGCATACTATGAGAGTGACACAACACTGAATACCTGGCTAGGAATTAACATTGATTACTGCCAGTGGATAAGCACCGCAGAAGTCCATGGGTTTCATGGGTACATGGGTCAGATTTTGGCTACCCATACCCATACCCATGCATACCCATACCCATGACCCACATGGGTTATCCATACCCATGCAATGCACTACGCGGCGACACTAATCACCGGGCCCTAAAGACACTGGAATGTTGTACATCAGGGAGCTGTTTAGACAGATCCGACGGAGTCAGACACGGAGCGAAGCTTTCGCCTACACCCCAATCTTCTTCAATGCACACAGGGTACTCCAAAGAGTACTCTGAGTGCTCTGCTCTCTCGAGCCAATTCACCCAGTATCCAGTGACGGTTTCTCCAAGCTCCTTTGTATTGAAATAATTACAGGCAGTGTTAAACTCAGACTTCAGCACAAGTACATCTCCGTGCTGTGACTTCTCATTAGACTCATGAAGTCTTTTCTCCCATTGTTCTTGGAGATTCTTACAAAGCCAAGTCATAACTAACTGCCCGGGATAGCCACACACAATATACAGACAGGGATACCAACCCCTGCATCACATCCAAATAGTGTTGTCATAAACTACTAAGTGTGGCTAACTGTGACATCTCTCCTATGAAGGTCCCTCTCTTGACATCAGGTGGGTGTTGAGATATCCATGGAATTCTTTCTTGGTTGCTTTGTGCCTTGCGGTACAGATGATGCTGTAAGTGGCCGAGTTCATCTCGGTACATAAACATATCCAGAAACGGAGCACCATACTCTGACACATTCCACTCTATCACACAGTTATCAAATTTCACAACACTCAGGACAGATAATTCTTCCTCAGCTGTTTCAGGCTTTCAGCATGGACTAACACTAAGCAGTCATCAATATATCACCCGTAATAAGGTATAAGCGGGTTTTCTAAGATTCCACACTTCCCTTCAAAATGCAAACTGTAAATGTTTGCAAGATCCAGAGAATCTGCAACACCCATGGCAAGGCCTCACTTCTGAATGAAGTATCTACTGTGTGACAAGTTGTGTGTTGCCGATGCGCAACACTTGCTTAAATATAGCCATCCAATAATGGTGGGTATGTTCACGTCCTAGAATGGATGTGTCCACAGTCCCCGAAGCAATGATACTCTACTAGAGCTTCTTTGGTGATATTGAGGGCTTTGTCAAGATCAATATTTGGGTAAAACACGACTACATCGCCGGTCACAATAAAGAATTTGTGTCCCGGCTGCAAGTGCAACGTACTCAATTTTATTGCCAGATCTTTGGTTCCATGTATAATGGCTGGCACTGACATAATAACTGGTTTAAGTTTTTTAGGGACTACTTTTGCTGCAGGGTTCATAACGACAGAGTGGCAGGGAATAATCAGCCTAAACCTCACAGGTTGTTTGTGAATCTTAGGAATCCCATAAAAATGAGGGATATCAAATGTACCACCTTTGTCTACATCTGTTATCTTTGACTGCAAGTACTCAGCCATAATTCCTTCTGCATAATCAACAAAGTTGGTGTTTTCAGCTAACACCTCCATTTGAGTAGCCTTGTTATTGAGAATATCTATACAATGATTGTAGCTAATTTCCTCATAATCATCTATGTTCAAAAGAACATTCCAACTTCTTTCTACAATCCAGGTCCTCTTTGACACCACAATGCCCAAGTTCTTATCTGTCCCAGTGACAATGTAGTCATTCTTGACTAGATAAGCTCAAATAGCTGATTGGTGAATTAGTATTGCAACGACCCTGGATGGCCCGTCCAACACGAGCTCTTCCACATGCACTCATGGTCTGCCCTGTCATTGAGTGCTAGTGAAGACTGCCTCGACTGGCCCGCAAGTGCGCAGTTGCCCTTGCACCAGCAGTTGAGCTGAAGAAGGAAGGGCCCGCAGTACACAACAACATCCTTGAACAGCCTCTATATGCCCATGTTGACAGGTATATGTATAAGGCTCTCATTTGTGCACCCTCATGCTACTGCTCGTACCCTGTGGTGGGCAAGCTTCCTAAGGCCCAGAGGTCAATCTCAACTGGGCACTATGAACAGTGCACCTGTAGTTCGGCATGTACATAATCGCCTGGATGCAGTAGTATGTTTGATGGGTGCTACTAGCTACATGGCAAGTGATTACGATGCCAATGTATCTTTACTCTACCAATTCTCTCGTTGATGACAGGGATCACAAATGACTACAACACCATGTGCTCGATACCGAGAAATACTTAAGTTTTGAATGTCACATCATTATTGAGGCAATCACACAAATTGTTCAGATCAAGTTCCTGTCCTCGCACACAGTGGCACCACCTTATTAGGGGGTGTATGGCACCATGCAGAACAGTGAGGAGCGAGATGCAACCAATGATGCTCAAGCACTTGACAAGCAGTAGGAATAGTTCTTGGAGTAACAGTATTGAGTCGAGAGAATACAGCAACAGCAACCACAACAATCTTCTTCATCTCAGAATGCAGTATACCCTTCACCTCCCCTGCTAGTAACTTGTGTATGATTTATGATGTTAGCCCGTGACCACTGCCCAGCATCTGCATTCTTCCCAGCAAAGGTTTTCCACAACTTGGGGTTTTCATAACAGAGGCGGCCAAGTGATGTGCAGTAAGTATTTGGGGCATCCCACATCCAATGGGTATCTGCTGCCATTTGATGTATGACCTTGTAGTCCGCATAGAAAACATTGCTCTCATCATCTTTGATCTGCAGGTATAGTTCAGATTCATTACTTGAACTTGCTGGGGAGTGGGCCATGCATGGCAATACAATCCCAGTTGTATTGTCTGTGTCTTTTGTCTTCTGGCTCATAAAATCATTGTTTGAATCTCACTAATCCAATGCATTGATATATACTAATCTGTGAGACTTGCTGGGGAGAGGGTCATAGCTGGCAGTACGATCCCTTTGGTAGGATACATGTCAATTTATGAACAACTTCATGCTGCCCACATCAGAAGTCATGCTTGGCAAGACTGCTAGTATATTGCCTATGCATAGAGTACTGACATATATTCCACATTTTGCACTTCAGAGTAGCCCACTAATTTATTAGGTTGTTGTCATATGAGTATCATAGCTTGCAATCATGAGCAACAGGCATTATGGATCTGTTTCTTACTTGGTAAATTGCCAAGTTGCTTATCAACATGATCTGAATACTAATGAGCAGTGTTACTGGTTTGTATTGATAGTAACATAGAGCAAATAGCTTGGGAATGTTGCAAAGAAGTAAGGAGAGCCTCTAGATCAACTAGAACTCAAGGAAGGGGAATCTGGGGGGTTGACTACAGTAACCACTACTCAGTTGGGACTTGCTGTCAGTGCTGTTGTACAAGTATTAGCCCTTGATCAGAGAAATTCTGATACCAAAGGATGTCTTTCAGTAGATTGTTAACACTACTTCCCCAAGTACAAACCAATCAACAGTGGAGGATGGAACCAATATACAGAGGAGAAGTATACCAGTAAGGAATTCTGAAAAAAGCCTGTCAAGAATTGATGTGTTATACAAGGAATACAACCAAAGAATGTGCAGTTTGCTCTCACCATAAGTGAACAGTTACCAGACACTGACCAGTAGTAC